CACATTTAATCTTTTTATTAAGTTGGTTCTCAACTTCAAGTTTAAAAGATTTAAACACTTCCAGTGACTGAGATTTTTCATGAATAAGATATAGATACCCATAACGTGAGTAATCGTCTATGAATGATATAAAATATTGTTGACCATTCCAAGAAGCCGAAGGGAATGGTCCACAAATATTTGTATATATCAATTCTAAGACATCTGAAGACCTGGTGGCATCTAATCTTTTGGTTTTTGTCTGTTTTCCTTTGATGCATTCAACACAAATTTTCAAATCTGTGAAGTTGAGGTTACTTAACACTCCATCTGACACAAGCCTATCAATTCTCATTTTTGAGATATGGCCTAAGCGTTTGTGCCATAGTGTTGCTGAATTTTCATTATTTAATTTTCGCTTAGTACCACGTGAATCCACGTGCAAGGTTTCATTATATGAAGTAACAATATCAAGCATATATAACTTATCACAATACGTTAGAGAACCAGTACCGATAACATTTGAATTTAAAGACAAACTAAATTCACCATTTCCAAAAGAACAATAATAACCAGATTTATCCAATTTAGAAACGGAAACCAAATTGCGTCTAAAAGACGGTACAATGCAAGTGTCTTGAAAATCCAAATAAAAACCAGTATCTAGTAATAAACGAAATGTGCCAACTGCTTTGACTTCAATCTGCTTGCCATCACCCACATAGATGTATCTTTCAGCATCATTTGGTTTTCGGTAGTTCAGGCAACCCTGCATAGAAATACTTACGTGAGTAGTAGCACCAGAGTCTATCCACCAAGTATTTCTAGGTACAGAAACTAAATTAATTTCAGAACAAACCAAAGCACGAATTATACCTTTCTTAACTCGCCAAACGTGGTATTTTGGACAATCCGACTTCAAATGACCAGGTTCTTGACAAAAGAAGCATTTAGGAGGTCCCGATTCCTTTTTCTTTTGATCATTACCTAAATGTTGTTTCTTTTGCACTGGTCCTTTAGTAGCAGCTTCTTTTCTCTTTCTTTTGCCCTTACCTTTAGAGGTACTAGCAAAATGAGCACTCTCAGTTGTTTCCTGCTTCATCCTTTCTTCTTCTTGCACACAAAAGGAAATGAGCTCATTAAGAGTCCATTTGTCCCTTTGGCAGTTGTAACTGACCTTGAACTGGTTAAATTGTGCAGGAAGAGAAAGCAACACCAAATGAACTAGAAAATCATCAGAAATTTCTAGTTTCAATGCCTTAAGTTTTGAAGCAAGATGAGACATTTCCATGATGTGCTCCCTTATGTTTCCTTTGCCTTTATACTTCATTGAAATCATCTTTTGCAAAAAAGTACTTGTTTCAGCCTTATCATTTTTTGCAAAACGTTGTTCAATTTCAGCAAGAAAATCTTTAGCATTAATAGACTGCTCATTCGCACCTCTAAAGGCTTCTGGAACGTCGCGCTTAATGATCATTAGACTCATGCGATTTGAGCGATCCCATTTTTCAGCATCCCTTTTATTCTCCACTGAACTTGTGGCAGTAAGGATGGGTTGCTCAATCCGAAGTGCAAGGTCAAGATCCATGCAGCCGAGAACTAACATAATGTTCTCTTTCCATTCCTTGAAGTTAGTCCCATTGAGAACTGGAATGTGATTCAAGTTGGACGATATTATGCCACAATTAACATTTGCTGTATTTCAGAACAAAATATCAATTAGTTTTTTTTTTTATGCTCATTAAACCATAATTATAATCAATAAAATTCAAATTATGACATCACAAGGTATCAACACAATATTAATATCAAGTCTTTGAACAACAATATTAACTTTTAAGAGATATCTTGTTTAAGTAGTAAAAATATTGACAATAAAACATGTTAATCAATAAGTCCCTCTTTGGATTGACTAATTAATCACATGAAACCCAAAAATTATCATATATGTATGTTTATCCGACCAAATATTAACCTACCTTTGGGTCGATTAATATCCGCATTGACAAACACATAAACCATAAAATTTAATAATAATATTTGACAATAAATCATGCCGTTTAACAAGCCCCTATTTGGATTGACTTATTAATGACATGTAACCTTCTTCTATTGTCGCATATTTATTATCACACATGTGTTTATTCGGCAAAATATCAACCTACTTTTGGGTCAATTGGTATCCGCAATAATAAACACATAAACCGTAATAAATAGTGTCATAACCGAATTTATTGATAACCAAAATATATAAAATAATATGAAAATAATTCCACATTTAATCAACTTTGCATATCAAAAGATCAAACTAATAAGCATAATTTTGACAATGTTGTGTCAAATATCATACAACAACTTATCAATGATTTAAAAATAGGAAGCATATGACACGTCAACAATGAATTGAAAATACATCATCATTAATTAAAAATCTAACTGGAGAACTAAAACTGCTGTTGGAACAAATAACAAGTACGTAAGCATACGAAATCGTGAATACATATATAAATAAAATTTGATGATGATTAACAATAGAGAACTAATAAATTTATTTTGACCATTAAGCAACACGGTACAAAGATATCTCATATGAAAATCTGAAGTCGTTACCTTAAAAAAATATATTAGTTTTACATGCACGGAATTATCATGAACCATGAATTTCATTACGTCATAGTGTCATAACTAAATGTATCAAAAGAAAATATCACTCTTGAAACCCACGTGATTAAACAAACACCTAAAACCCAATTGGTTTCTTTCAAATAATAAAAATAAATAAATAAATAAATAAATAAATAAATTCACTTATCAATACCTAAAATTAACAAAATATGATGACAGCTATTAATAAGCAAAAGATACACATCGTACGTCTAAATCAAAAGAAAATAGTATTTGTCACAATCATGGAAGGCTTTGCATTATTTATTGATTTTGATTTACTGCTTTTGTGTACGAATAGGGAGATAGACCACACACTTTCTTTGTTTAATAATAAAATATGAATTAAAAAAGAATTCATTGATAACTTATGTCAGAGATGCATACACAAAAGTCAAAAGTATGTACTAATCAATAAAACTTTAAACGAAACAAGTTCTTAAATATCACAAAGGAACAACAAACATATATACACAACTTATCTTTTCTCATCGCACGTCAAGAAAGCACGTAAAACAATTTTCAGGCAACGAAGAGAAGAGAAAATTTATATTATCAAATTCGAGAAGGCTCTGATACCAATTGTTGATAATTTTAATAACTTAATCTATGAATGCGGAAGCTTTTTTAAAGTCAGACCTTCAAACTCGAATCTGAATAAAAGAATAATAAGAGAAGGAGATTGTGTACCTGCTTCCATTGAAGCTTTTGGATCTGAAGAACAAATTTGGTTTTTCAGTTGATCTCAAGACAACTCCAAGACCCCTTAGCAATCAAAAAAACGAATTTTGTGAAGTAATTTCGTCCTCTCTGATTTGCTGCTCATCACATATATTTATAGATGAAGATAAACCTTAATGTGAGAGATGGAAGGGATCTTGAGGATCTTGAGTCAAACCGGAACTCAAGCCACAAATAGTAAGTGAATATAGGTCCATCAACAATCTTATACACTTGCCATAATATTTTGGATTTAAATGATAACAATATATATGTTCATTTATAGAATGGTCCATGATTTTCTAACAAGATCTATTTGTACGACCTTACAAATGTTTATAAGGCCTTGATAGCTTTTTGTAAGGATTTGCAAATAATGACATCATATATTTTGTTTCATAGCTAAAATTACGTTGAGTAGTGATGGTACTTGACTTGATTATGCATGTGTATCAAACATGTAGAAAGGCTTGTTAAAAGATAACTTATGTGTTTGAGGTGAGTATTAACCATATAGAACATGTCTTATATTTGACATTATATTTTTAGATTTCCTTTTATGTATTTTATCCATTGTATTTAATGTATTTTATCCCTTGGATTTCAACAATGAACACCCCTGATTAATATGCATATACATATTCATTACATGCATTTATTTATCAGATTTTGGTCCATCTTCCTCCCATTCAAACTAGGAGGCATATTAGCGAGAACACTTACAGATAAGATTCGTATACCTTTATAGATTTGTTTTATTTTAGTACTGTGCACTGTTATTTTATTCAAGAATATACGAATATATTTCGAAATTTAATAGGTGCGTCAAGGTTACCTTTTCTAGCATTTTCTAGCAATGATTTAAGACAAAATTCTTTTATAATCAATTTAGTCTATAATTTGCATCAACTTCTAGTAAGAACATGTCATGCACACACATACTAGATAATCGAATGTCTACTACTAACCCTAAAAAACAACATTAGCAACAAAAGAATGTCTTAGAAATTAATACCAATTTAATCTATAAACAAACCATACTTCATTTAATTGTTGCTTAAAGTTTTAGCTGCATAACGTGTAATAAACCAGAAATCATGTATCAATCTTTTCAACTTTTAAAGGGACCAATTCACAACCAAACTATGCCAACAAGACAAATCCGTAATTTTGAAAGTCCGATAACCAAAGAAATCAGCTAAATGCAAGGACCAAATTTGCAATTTTGTCAATTACACAAAATCAAATTAGATGAAGAGTATGGGGTCTATCCAAACTTACATTTATAACAAACAAATTAAAAGTGACATATTCAAAATAAACTCATCTATAAATTTGTAATAAAATACTCACCTACAACAGAAATTGGTTTTTTAATAATGAGACCCCTTATTTTGGTTTTTGAACTTGTAATATAAGTCTTTAAATGTTGACTAATGTTGATTTTTAATACATTAACAACAACGAACAAAAACATTTGTTGTGGTCGAAGAATATCTGATATATTTGGATTTGATCAAAACTGTGTAAACCCAATAACTCAAAAGGCCATTCAAGCCCAATAACTTAATTGGACTTTCGATTTGGTATCCTCCTTGTTGACTTGTTATCAACGTTTACAACCATTCACTCCTTTGTTTGTAGGGTTTTAGGGTTTTTCAACTTTCCATCGCTTTTCTGTATCGATCAGCCAAGTTGCTCTCAAGCTTCGACTCCATGGACGCTTCAGCATTATCAAACCCTCAGTTACAACAAATGATCAATGTAAGATCTACTATGAATTTCTATTGATTCCGTTTGTATATATTTATATTACATCTACCAAATTTGGGAATAGATGTTTGAGATCCGCATCGATTTGAGTCTCATTTGATTCGATTTCTGATCGCTTAAAACCTAAACCACTTGTATTGATTTCAATTTGTTTCAATCTATGTAAGAGTGGATCTACAATCATTGAATTTAGGTTATCCGTTACTTACATCGTTCTGAATTCGAATAGCAATGAAAGTATTTTGGTTATTCTTGTGTTTAACTGAATTTGGGATTGATGCAGCAAGAAAAAGAAAGGGCAATGGCGACTGAGATGATAGCAAAGCTAACAAGTGCGTGTTGGGATAAGTGCATCACGGGAACTCCTGGAAGCAAGTTCAGTTCAAGTGAATCGAGTTGCCTTTCAAACTGTGCTCAACGTTACATGGACATGAGTATCATGATTGTCAAACGCTTTCAGTCAATGCACTAATGTTATAAGGTTAGGACACAAATATAATGTGATCATTGAATTTTCATATAAGTAGCAAGTAACTTTCATCCATAATTCATACATGATGTGATGATGTTTTCTCCTTTTTTCGTTGATGAGAACAATTAGTTGAAAATATGTCGTGTATTTCTTGCACTTCAAATTGTTATGATTTTGTTTTCATTAATCCTCTTGTTGATTACAATTTAGAGTGAATTTTCATATATTTTATACCGCCTTGGTCACAGTGTGTTTTGAATTTGATTGTTTAATACTGTATTAGGATTGAAATTCCATGTATTTATATTGGAAATCTTGTTGAATTCAAAATATGGTAAAGAGAAAGGTTTGAAGCTCAATATATCATAAATTTGTGCAAAAGAAAAAGAACATGCTAACTTTTGTGTATTGGTCAAGTATTAACTAAATATCAAATAGTTAGTCATTTTTATTTTTGATTGAAAAAAAGGGAGGGGTGCTTTTAAAGTTTTGGAGGGACGTATTTTTTAAATTCCATATATGCTTTCGAATGAATTTGTTATTCTTTGTTTAAAGGTTTATTTTTGTTAAATAGACAAAAATGCCCTCCCCCCATCTCCTATTTATTTTATCTACTATAATTTATCAAATCAAAACAAATTATCCCATTATACTTACACCCATCCCCTCGTTGCTACATCCATACCCATGCCTATGACTATGCCAACACACCCATGTACATGTAGATGTCCATGTCTACACTTGCACACACATGTTTTTGTTTTCTTTTTTAATTTTTACCTCTCCAAATTTGCACGGAACTCTCAATGTTTTGAATCGAAGCAGTCGATTTATTGTTTTGATGGTTCAACTGGTTAAAAAATTAGTATGACATCATTATTACATCGTAATTAATTTTAAATTATAAAAAAAACAAAAAACAAGGAAAATCTCGAAATGCGAAGAAACACATGCTTCATACAGATTGCCATTTAATTCAATTATACCTTGATACAATTGAACAGAAAAAACAAAATTTCAGTAGATTGTTAACAATCTTAAAAAAGTTAATTTTTTCTTGATAAAAATCGGGGTTTGAAGTTGTTGGACTTGAAGTTTAGGAGTAAAATAGTTAAAAAAGCTAAAAAACTAGGATTTTCCAGCTTTTTATAAGTTATTTTTTCCTATCCAAAAAATTGTTTTAAAAAACGTTTTTTAAATACACAAATATTTTTTTAGCTTATTAGCTTTTTAAAAAACCAAAAAGCTAATAAACTATTTTCAAAAGCTATCCCAAACATCCATTAAATGGTCTTAGGCCTAGCCCAAAACAAGATATGTGTTATGCAATTTTATGTATTTGTTTTGTGAAGCTGTTTTTTTCTTCTTTATATCATCTCTCTAATAAATGAATGTTTTTTTGCCACTTGTCAAATTTTTAAGAGTTTTGCCACATGTAATTTTGTGGGAGTTTTAGAATTATTATTTTTCACTTGTCATTTTTTTGGGAATTTCCCTTTTTTAAAATAAAATTTCATAAAATTCTAACAAGTTTTATAAGGAAAGAAAACCATTCTATTAATTTGATAATAAAGTATCATAAATGCTCTAAATAATATTTGATTTCTTTTATAAATGTTCCAAAAGATTACATTATATTATGTAAAAGTGTTATTTTATAAAATATTTAATGTTTAAATATTGATATTAAATTTTTATTTTTAATAAACCCGTGTAATACACGGGTCTCACACCTAGTCCTCCTTAATAAATGAAGGTTTTTTTTCCCACATGTCAATCTTTCATGAGTTTTAACACTTGTAATTTTGTGGTAATTTTGAAATAAATATTATCCACTTGTCAATTTTTGATTTGTTTCAATTTTTAAAAATTAAAGTCATATACTTATATATGTAATGTATTAAATATCATATATATAATATTAAATTGCAATAAATACGTTTCTTTCTTTCTTATTTTAAAGTTGTACATTAAAAAAATATTTTCTGTTACACTTTAATGTTTAATTTTTTTTTTAAATCAACCCGTGTAATACACGGGTCTCACACCTAGTATTATATGCATATTCAGTAAGAACGTATATTTGAGCATGTAAAAACTTTAATAAATGAAATTTTTATCATAATTAATTTTTAATTCTTTTGATAAATTCATAAACTAAACAGAAAACAAATTCTGTTCAATGTCAACCAAACACATAATATATTTTACGTCATTCATATTCCAATTTCTCAATCGATTCCATTTTTTTCTAAAGTATTTTGAGAACCAAATGGCCCCTAGATCCATGTGGGCTGGAATTACATCTCCTTGATGCCCATTTTGTGCATTGAGAGTTAGATACTCATATTTTTTGATTATTCTATTGCTCAAAGCTTATGGTTGAAGTTCTAGCAATGGTGGTGAATTACATATTTTTTGATTATTCTATTGCTCAAAGCTTATGGTTGAAGTTCTAGCAATGGTGGTGAATTACATATTTGCCTCCTTGATATGGCTTCTAGAGTATTGATGCATAGAAATGATACAAGTTTTTAAAGAGGGTTGAATACAGTTAGAATTTCTTTTTGACCCGGAAACCAGTTTTGCTTGGCTTACGACTCGAAAAATTTAAAGGTTTTTAGTTGATTTGGCTCAAAGAAGTGAAGAACCAAATTCAATTCATTTTTCAAAAATGGAGATTATTGCATAAATGAAGTTACATCTGTACCCTCGATGAAATTCCTGTGGTTATATCGTTATATCTTTTGTCCAGAAAAGGAACTCCGTTAGAATAATGAGCAAATATTTATAAATATTCTTATTTCGAGGCACATTTGACCCTAAACAAAATCAATCAATCAATCAATATCTATTTAATACATATCGTGTTGTTTGAGATTGCTTATTGCTTATCGAAGACGTTTATTGTTTGAGATTGCTTATTGCTTATCGAAGACGTTTATTAATTTTCTCAATTTAGTACCTGTAGTGAACATTTTTAAGTGTTTGAATGAAATAAAATAAGTGATTGTTAACTCAAATAATTTTTTTAATAAGTTCTTCATTCTACTTATAACTTATTTGAAAATATTTATTACATATGAAAACCAATTTATCAATTTACACATTTACTAACCCTAAACAACAATAGTCTATTTTTTTATTTTTATTTATTTATTTTCATACCAATTAACCTGTTTGCCTAGTTTTTTTTTTGGTTATCTTATATGTATAAGAAAAATCTATCAAATACTAAAAAATAACTTGTCAACTCACTTTTGACACCACATAAACTAATCATATATATATAGGGAAAAGTTCAATAGAGAACCATATTTATTGGTTCTTCAAGGAACCAAATCTTTTTTTCAATTTCTAGAGTTTATTCTTTATCGAAAAAAAAAATCTAAAAATATCTAAATTCATATATTAACATTGTGAATGTGAAAAATATTTTTCGGATTCACCGTATGAATCCGGGTTCACATTGTGAATTTTCAAAGATTCACATTGTGAATTTGACGTAAAAAAAAATCGAATTTGATATCATTGGAAAAAGGATAAAAAGTTATGAATTTTTGTATTTTTAGTTTTTTTTTTGATAAAAAATAAGTTCTAAAAGTTGAAAAAAAGATTGGTTCCTTGGTTAATTATGGTTATCTATTGAACCTCACCCTATATATATATATATATATATATATATATATATATATATATATATATATATATATATATATATCTATATATATATATATATATATATAGAGAGAGAGAGAGAGAGAGAGAGAGAGAGAGAGAGCTAGGTTCATTTGTTTAAACTAATTATTGTGTTATTGTATGAGTAAATATAGGCCAATCATTTCAAAAGGGTAAATATGTAATCTTATATTTAATTAATTATGGTAAATATATAAATTAATTAATATCCCTTTAATTTAGGGATATCAGTTTTAAAACCCAATTTCTAGTCCGCCTCTTCCCTCCTCTCTTATATTCATCGACTCCGGCAGATTCAAGGAGGGCATCGTAACCTGCGGATCACGTCCCCATGGCGTCGTGCCAGTCGCCACCTGTCACCGGCGGATCAATTGCCTGTCACCAGCGGATCTTGTCGACACCAATAACGTCTTAAAACTCTTTTTCGTCCCGGTTTGGCGGTGGCCAGGAAAAGACCAACTCATGCACTGCAAAGAATTGCGGCCTGTTCTATCCGTCGTCGTTGTCTCCGATTTCTTCCGACTTTCGGCCATCAGAAAGCCTTCGATGTCAATTCTACGCACGGGAGGTCGATTTTGATTTCAGGTTTTGCCCCTTTTGTGCTCTGCTCTCTGAGTTAATTGAGGCTGTTAATAGATATTAGTCATATCAATAAGCAGTTTTATTTGCAGTGATGAATGCTCAGTTTGTATAATCTGTTAGCATTTAGTATTTCATAGACATGTAGGCCGATCGATCAGGTGTTCTTTGAGTTCGAATTGGCAGAAAAGCCCTAGTTTTCGTTATTTGAACCATCCCAAACGAAATCCCCAATAAAAATGTACGAAATTAGGAATCTTCTGTTGGATGATTCAAAAATACAGTCTTGAATGATGACATTGAACGAAACCTGTGCAAAATTGCTTACATTTACAAGCTCCAAGGCATAGATTAACGATAATCTGATAGAAACGAATGTAAGGTACAATGGTTTTCTGATAGACTCGATGTGTTTAGGTTTATTGAGAATTTGTTCTGATTGTCTAATTTTTACAGGAAATTGAAAGTTGTTTTGATGCACACCAAGCGCTCGGTAAAATGTTTCAACTGAATTGTATTTCTTCGTTTATAATATTCTATCAGAAAAGAATGTTTTTTATGATAATCGTGAACATATTCTGTTAGAATGCCCCAAATTAATATAATTATTGGTAAATGAATTCCAATTCTATCAGAATGGAATCACGAATTCCATTCATGCTGGAATGGAATATGGATATTTTCTCACTAATTTATTCATTGGATTTTTTTCCACAGTAGCTGATGCTTGAAGAACGGGCCACGAAATTTGAACGACGCCTCTTAGCAACATTATTCTTTTAGAATAAATTAGTGTATTTGTTAGATTTTGATGTTTTTTTCCCGATTTGACAGTTTTTTATTGTTATTCTTTAACAACAAATGTAATTTTTAGCAATTGTTACAGGTATTCTATAAGAATTAATATAATTTTTGTTTTAATTCTTCAATTGCTGATTCGAGAATTTGTTATTCTACAAGAAATATGTTCAAAAATATTTTTATTATTTTATGGTTCTAGAATATATTTTTTTAACATACTCAAACATATTCTGTCAGAATTAAAAACCTTATAATTAGTAAAATCGGATTTTTAAAATTAACAGAATCTATGATACCTTAAAATATGCAAATTTCCTTTATTAAATCTATATTAATTGACTAAAATACCATTCTAGTTAAATTAGATGGTATTTTTCGATCATTTTTAATTCAATAATATATATTAATCACTTTTTTAAAATAAGTAAAATGATTGGCCCATATTTATGCATACAATAACACAATAATTACTTTGAATAGAATAACCTAGGCGCATATATATATATATATATATATATATATATATATATATATATATATATATATATATTGTTAAACTCCATTTTGATACAAGATTTTCAAAAATCAAAAATAAAAAATAAAAAATAAAAAATAAACTTTTTTTAAATAAGCAAACAACCCCATAGTTTGGTAGGGTTAGTCACTACCTGGTCATTAATACAAGTTGTTGGCTTGTTATATCATGGACCCAAGTACCCACCCAACCTTGTCATTCCATAAGGGAACCAAACAGCGGTACGATTTAATTCGATCTCATTTTACCTCGTAAATAAATTCATGAATTGTACAAGTTACCATTTAATTTTGTAACATTTAAAATCCTCACACAAAGTGAATATATAAATAAAACACAAATTATATAAAAAAAAAAAAAACAAAACAAAAGAGAAAACTATGTACACACTATTATAATTCATAAGCCAGAAATGGGTTTTTCTTATATTCCCCATTCTATCCACCCCAAAAAATCAAACTATTAAACATTACCACTGCACATAGGAGTCAAAGTCAACGACTTATATCATTGCCTATTTTGACTAGTCAACGCACCACCACCCAAACTCCCACTACTTCCACCCATTATCCGGTTCGACTCCCCATAACCCGATCCAAATGACCCGACATCACTCGCTAAATCCCAGCTTCCACTTCTCCTCCTATCAAATCTCTCCATAGGCTTCCTATTATTCCCCATTTCTACATCACTCGGAGTCTTCTCTACATTTGAATTTACGAAACTACCCCTGGGAGTCCTACCCAACATCTCAGCCTCCCTCTCCACCACCGCCCTAAAATCATTCTTGGACGGGGGTATTCTAGTCCAAAACACCTCCTTAAAATTCTCAAAAACCCCACGATTATACGGGTTTTCAGTTCGATCGTATCTATAACGGAAGTTCTCATACGTAGACTACAAAAGGGCAATATCGTAATTACACATGTCAGAAGGAATTGAAATGGAAGGTGAATAATAATTAAAAGATTAGTTGTGTGTTTGTTTACCTGGTTTGTGCTGATGAGATAAAGATGGAAGACAGTAAGTCCACCAACAAACCAAACGCATATGAAGGTGTAGATTATGAGAACAATGGAAGCAGGAGTCTTGATTAATGCCTTCCATATAGACACATCTTCACTCTTCATAATCTTGATTGCATATACCCAACAAAAGGAGAAAACATAAACACAAAGAAGAGTAGCTGAGGAGACAAACATGAAAAAGAATCTGTAGTTTCTCTGCAATTACACCAACAACTTTAATTATAAATCATGAAAAGAAGATGTACAAATGTTTCTTGATTCTTACCAATCCAATACATTGGCCAACCCAAGGGCAATGATGATCAAATCGTTGAACACAGTTGTCACATATAGAACAGTGAGAACAGCGTGGAGGTCGATAAAGCATGCAAGTGTCGCAGTATTTGACTTTTACAGTCATCCCGTTGACTATTACTTCTTTGAATCGAGGTAAACGTAACTGTGGAGTTTGGCTAGATCCGATTTCTAAGGATTGATCCATTGTTTCGGGTTCTGGTGGGTGTGTGTTGCGGGGGATTATACCAGGGTCTCTTCCGGAGGTTATTACAAGGAGGGATACAGACTGTAGAATTAGATTCATGAACATTTGAGTGTGGATAGAATGTAGAAAGATGATGATGAAATTGGAAGATGAGAGAACTTACGTAGATTGTGAATGCAATTAGTATCACCATGATTAATATTCCGAGGTGATGGGGGAAATGATCAAGCAACTTTCGGCCGACGAATGCACAGAAGACTGCAACTGGAGCTATGATTAGGAACATTGATAGAAACACTGATTTGAAATCTGGTCCGAATATGAATCTTCCTCCAAGGAAAAATATCTAGAAAATTTGAGATAAAAAATGCACAAAATCATGAAACTGCTAATGAATAACGATCTCGATTTCGATATATACATATTTCTTATAATTCAGGCCTAAATCAAAATTCGGTGTTCATCAATTAGTTCAGAGTGTTCAAATTCATGTATCCAATTGACCTCTGTTTTGAAATAAGCTAGAACCTAATCCACTAAACAGAGTCAGAAGCCGATGATTTCATAGAATCATGAAAACGAAAGCAGCCAATCGGATCGCGTTAAATAATAATTACTCTACTCGAAATTAACGATCTGAAACAGATTGAATCCTAATCAGAATCAGAATTAGAATCATATCCTAAAAAACAAACCCTAAGTTACAAAGCAAAATCAGTGAACTTACGTTGCTGCCTTTCCAAGTCTGGTACGTTCGGATAACCTCCGTCTTTCCACCGGCGACGACCTCATCGGATTTCTTTGGCGGATGTACTCCATACATGATCTCTCCCTCTTTCTCTCTCTGTTTGGCTGTCAGTTTTCTCTCTCTAAAAATAATAAAGCTTGTAGAGAGAATTGGAAGATGTCAAAGGGTGGATGTAGAGAGAGAGAGAGGGGTTTGACTATTTGTTTTGGTGAGTTTCCATTGAAGGGTAGAGGGAAAGCGTCAGAAGAAACCAGCGCACGCAAATTGAAAAACAGAAACTTCACCAAACACAACCGAACTTGTGCTAAAGTAAACGTGTTGCAGTCAATTCTTATTTGAATATTAATAAAAGGAATAATGACTTGACAGGGTAAGTTACTTCTTAATGTACATATTTAGTTTTTTTTTTTTTTTTTTGTAGAATAAACCCTTATACTTTATTAATATGTACACATTATGTCATTTTCACCGGATTCTACAGGTTTTGCTGACGTGGAAGGGTTTATTTTACAAAAAAAAAGAATAAGGACTAAATGTGTACATTTCAAAAAGTATCTTACCCTATCAAGTCATTTTCCCTTTCTTTTTATTTTGTTGAAATGATATACCCAGGTGGCATCCACATATCCACAACGAGATTTTTCCAACTTTTATTCATCATGAAAAAGAGGGAGAACCCCGATCTCCGGTGACTCCTTTGTGTGTTCCTACACATCACTGGTAGCAAGGAGGAATGATGGCAAAAACAACAAGGTCGAAGGGGGAGGCAGGAGGAAGTAGAGACGGTAGTTGGCGGCGAGGAGCTGCTCTGGTAGCCCCCTCGTCGATTATTTCTTCTTTTTCTGGCAACATATCTCAAAGATGGAGGCAAATAGAGACAGATCGGAGAAACACAACAGGTAAAGGGTGTTTGGCTGTTGCTGTTCGACCGGAAGGAAGAGAGACGAGAAAGAGAAGGGTCGCCGCCCTTTTCTTGTTGCTGGAGGATCACCCACCTCCGGTGACTAAGCTAATTAATTGCTATTTAGTGCCACTTGTGCTTCCTTATCAGCAAAACCTGTAGAATCCGGTGAAAAAGACCTAATGTGTACATATTAATAAAATATAAGGGTTTATTTTACAAAAAAAAAGAATAAGGACTAAATGTGTACAATTCAAAAAGTACGTTACCCTATCAAGTCATTTTCCCTAAAAGAGAATTCGTATATGACCGTTATACCGGATATAGCCAGTCACAAGGATTACATTGTTACAAAAAATAAAGTATAAGAGTTTATTTTACAAAAAAAAAAAAATAATGACTAAATGTGTACATTTCAAAAAGTATCTTACCCTATCAAGTGATTATCCCTTAATAAAACAGTTAAGTTAAGATATTATTTTTAGTGATAATAACTAAATTAACCAAATGGATTGTTTCATTCTCATATTTTAAACGATTATTATAAAATAAATTTTAGGATAATATTCAAGAAAATTCAGTGTATCATTTTTTATTTTTAGAAATTATCATGTTATCTTTTGTATGTATTAAACTTATCATGTATTTTTAATTTTGGTTAAATTAAAGTTTTACAACTAGATAATCGTAGAAAACTGTTTGTAAAGTTTAACTGAAATTAAAAGGTTAATTTGAAATTATTAATTTCAAGAAACTATAACTTATATTGCAGAAAAAATGTTGTAGTTTAGTTTCTAGAAATTATAATTGTTATTCAACATAAGCTTTAATAGTGACATATAATCTTTTTAAATCTACATAGGCTATGCAATTTTCTTTTGGATTATCAGGTTACGAAATATTAATATAACCAAACTAAGAAAATATAATCTTTAATAGATACAAAAATAACATAATGGTTTTGTGTAATGGATAATAAATTGATTTTTTTAGCATTGCCCTAAATTTTACAAAACAAGTTACTAGCAACATTGTTTTATAAATTTTTTTAATTGATTCTTAGAAAAAAGAAACATAATTTCATAATTTTTTAGAAATTTTGTGGTTGAAAGCAGTCACTTGTAAAGTAAATTCATATTTTCTCTTTGTGATATCTATGTAAACACAATCCATTTTATTTATTAATTAACCAATATTTTTAAATAGTAATGAGACGGTTTTTGCAGAAAATAACTCTTCTCTTTTTTATTGAGATAATAATTCAAAGTGGGTGGAAACCACATGGAAGAATAAATGTTGGATTATTTAAGGAATTTTGGTAAACATTTGTGGTCATAGTTATGGCATATCCACATGCTTGCCAGTTGCCTCCTCCTCAACATAAAATTGGCCAAATGGGGTTGGATCGAGATGGATACACCTAGTCTCCGCAGGCCTGGTTTTTAATGCTATATACCCTTGAGCTGTTTAATATATACGTTATTTTTTTTATAGTTTATATATTTATATTTTAATTAATATATGCTACAATTGACACATTTAGAAGAAAGTTTCTTTGGGGTAAAGTAATAGGTCCAAAAGAATAGTCTTAGTGTTAGGGAGCTTAAAATCTTTGAATTTGGCCTTCTTGCACTCGTGTAAAATCTTTCCTACAACCTCCACTTCCGTTTTCTTCCATTCTTTGATGAAATTCATGGTGCACACAAAAGCAAAGGTCTAATCGGTTGTAAATTAATGGACTAAATCACCTTTGCTACATTGTGGTTTATTTGGAAATCTAGGAACACGACAAGATGTATCTTCATTAAACGTCCAATCTTAGTTGCAAAATGTTTTGATGAGGTAAGAGCAAATACCTTGGTATGCGTCAAACACATTGCGAAAAGACCATATCTCGATTGGTCTCTCTAGTGTGATTCTCCCTTCTCAGCCTTCTACATGTAAATATGGGTGGGTCACACTAGATGATTATCTTTTGAGTGAGTGTTGGTGTGAAAGTAAAATACTTGGTGTTGTATCACTCTTGGTTGCATCATAAAACATGTGTATGCTTTTGTGCCATTCATTTTTCTAATAAATTTAAACACGTATCGGTTACAAGTTAGTAAAAGTTAGAGAAACATATTTGAAAGATTGACAATTTTCAAAGGGATGCTTAGTGTAGAAGATGACTTCATGGTTATTGTTATGATGTTCCAACTTATGAATGATTACATTGAGAATTTAAGTGGTGCTCTGTGTGGAATTCAATTATGGAGAAACTGAAAGACGATTCCCCATTCTTCCATGTATCGTACAAAATATCTAAAGAGAAATCAATTTCCCCTACTTCCAAGTAACATTTAGGAAATAGGGGATACCAATTATGTCATGTTGGCAAAGTTACTATCATTACATGTAGATATAAAAACACAAAACGATTATCACAAAATGGTTCTAAGCCCACATATTAATGTAATATTCCAACATTGTCACACTTTCCCAAATGACTATTTACAGAGGCAGGCCAAAGGTTTTTTATGCCTGGGGTGATTTTTTTCTTTTTTTATAATGCCCATTGGCCAATATTTGTACCATACAAGTTAAACAAATTAATATACGATATAAATTACTAAAACAAAGCACTTCGCGGTTACGTTTGGTTGAATTCGTAGGAATTGGAATAGTATTCTTTTTAGGTCTGACAATCGTGTCGTGTTCGGGTTGACGGGTCAAAATATACCAACCCGAACACGACCCATTTAACTATACTGATCACGAGTTGGCGAGTTTGAAAAATAAACTCATATATGACCCATCAACCCACTTATTTATACGGGTTCACAGATTGGCGGCTTCGTGGGTCAGATTTGGGTTCGGGTGTCCATGGGTTGGATCGCAACAAATCGTTTGCCTACTGCGGTGTGTGTTTATCGTTCACGTTCAGGCGTTGACGTTGTTCGATAATGATTCAATCATTCATGTCACCGTTCTTCGTGAGTTCGTTCTGTCGTTCATCAAAGGCGAGAGAGGGCTTACTCAATTTTGTTTGTGAGATACTGAGATTATTTAGGGGAAACGCCAAATGTCAAATGGTCAATGGTATCGGGTATCCTATCCTAGTATAAAGTATAAACAATATAGTGTATAATACTTAATACATTTAAAAAAAAATATTTTTTTTATTAAAATTCTAAACGGGTTGGCCGGCGAGCGCACATATTTTTTTGAAAAACTCATATATGACTTGTTTAATAAACGGGTTGACGGGTTGAAAAATTCAACCAAAATCTGTTTATTTCGTGTCGTGTCGAAAATTGCAAAGCCTAATTCCATTAAATGAATTGAATATATATATATATATATATATATATATAGAGTTTATAATTGTGGGCCATGGTATTTTTAAGACTATTGTCTTAAAACTTAAGGAAACAAGATATTGACCTTTGATATTCTTTTAAAAGATCTGAACCATTGAATGAAACCTCAAACATACGGGATTGCCATAGTGTTTTCACTTTTGGATTGCCAACATGGCACTACTAAGAACACATTACAAAGGGTCATTATTAACACCTTTATTTTGACAAACTCAAATATTTTCCATCACCTCCTCCAAGACATCAACGATACAATCTCTCTTCCTTCCCCCACCCACCCACCCACCCACCCACCTTCACCTTTGCTCTCCATCTCTCTCAACGATACCCTTAACTAGCCGCATTACTCACAGGTTTCGCCTCCAGCACATTGCCATTGTGTTCATCTCCGTCTTCGTATGCCGTCCTTCCGTTTTCAACCACCTCAACCACTCGCCAAAACGATGTTGAAAATCCTACATCCAAAAGGATTTCTCGAAATACCCAAACAACCATCGATCTACAACAACCACCACACCACTGTATTTATGTTTTCCTCGCTCTATATCTCTTTAAAAACAACCAGTACCACTCAACAGCCAAACCTTCTTTCTTTTTTCTGTCTACGAAGTCAGATGTTGCGACAAGGATTTCTCGAGATGTGCCCGACATAATTCCGATTTCTGAGTTAAAGGTGGATGAAAACAAAAGGTTGATTGAAGAACCTGAGGCAATAGTTGACCGTAAGACTATGAAGTTGCGACGCAAGATGGTTGATTTAGTGCTTGTGCGCTGGAAACATACGAATGGACCAAATCTCACCTGGGAAACGGAGAGTGACATGATGAGTCGCTACCCGTAGTTGTTTGGTGATATGTGATTCCGGGGACGGAATCATCCTAAGGGGGAGAGAATTGTAACACTCGTGTTTCTAGCCTATGCATTAATATTAATGTGATAGTCTAGGTTAACCTTTGTAACTCATTTTGAAGAAATGAAAAAGGAATTAT